TCGTCGCCAGCGATGTGATGATCTGAGCATCCGTCTATATGGTCGCTCTATTCCAAATAAGGCCGTGGCCAGGTATCTCGGGATACACTTTGACCGCCGCCTTACATATAACGCACATCTTAAAATGTTACGCGATCGATGCTTTAAATCTCTCAACATACTAAAGTGTGTGTCTCGCACATCGTATGGGGCAGACAGAAGCACGCTTATGCTTTTATATCGTTCCCTCGTCCGCTCCAAACTGGATTATGCATGCTTTGTTTATGATGGCGCGTCTGAATCCAGCAAGCGTGTTCTTGATACCGTCCACCATACTGCCATTCGCATTGCTACTGGGGCGTTTCGCACATCACCTTCCGTCAGCCTTTTAACGGAGGCACACGAACCACCACTTTCGACGAGGAGGAAAATGCTTGGCATGCGTTATGCGTTGAAGCTGCGGCAGTTCCCACTTCACCCGACATATTCTGCAATATTTTCGCGGTTTGCAGTAAGTTCTCTTCGTCATGGGCCGCAGCAGCACGCTTTAACTTTTGGTTCCCGAATGAGAGCGTTATTGCTTGAGAGCGGAATTCCTGTTCGGGGTGTAAGGCAAGTAAGCCGCCTGGCTTCTCCTCCCTGGCAAATGACCACACCCTTCATTGACACCTCGCTTACGGAAATTAGGAAAAAAGACGTCACACCACACCTATTGAGATCCAGGGCAGTTGAGCTTTTGGCGTGTTATGAAGGATATACGCTGACATACACAGACGGATCCAAAACCTCGGATGGCGTGGGTTGTGCTTTCGTTAGCGGGTCCGTCACTCGATCGTTCTCGTTACCGGCCCACTCGTCAGTTTTTACGGCGGAATTAGTTGCAATCACCAAGGCGATATGTTTCATCGAAGTGGGTGAAGAATCTTCACACGCCATTTTTACAGATTCACTGAGCAGTCTCTCTGCACTGAAGTCTTTTTATCCATCATGTCCCCTTTTACAGGACATTTTATCACGCCTGACACAATTGAATCGGGTTGGAAAGAGAGTTGCACTATGCTGGATCCCTAGTCACGTCGGTATCGTGGGCAACGAACTGGCTGATGCCGCTGCTAAGCGAGCAGCGGTAGCACCATATACCCGGTTTTTGCCTATCCCTGCCAGAGATTTTTACCGGGCAGTCAAGACCTTCCTGAGAAGCAGATTGCAGCGCTGTTGGGACCAGGTGGGGGGCAATAAGCTCAGGGCAATAAAGACAGAGTTGGGCTTGTGGTCGTCATGCTCTCGCAGTGTGCGGTGGGAAGAGGTGGTTTTATGCAGGCTGCGCATTGGGCATACCTATGCCACCCATGGCCATCTGTTACATGGAGCCGACAGACCCCTATGCCAGCGGTGTGGTGCCGTCCTGACTGTCCATCATGTCATTATATCATGTCCATGCCTCTTCGAAGAACGACGACGTCACTTTGGTTCACAGGCTTCGACCCTGACGATAAACGATGTGCTTGGTGACAGTTCCTCCTTTCTTGGTCCCAAACAGCTCTTTTCGTTTTTAAAAAATATTGATTTTCAAGTCATTTTCACACCGTACTAATTAACAGCATAGTTATGGGCGCAAAATGACCACTGCAGTCGACGCGCCCGAAAACTCCAATGAACAACAAAATTTCTGGATTTTCAACAGATATTTTTGTTTCTCAAACACATCAACTTTGGGACCATTTATGCGGCTCATTAGATAGGTAAAACCAAACTCGTTATGGGCGCCAAATGACCACCGCAGTCGGCGCGCCCCTAAACTCCAATAAACAACAACTAAACTTATGTTGCATCATTGGCTGGAACGCTGTTCTAAGGAACATGGTTGCCTTTTAAGGCAACTTTGCATTGGCTCTGATTCGCTGCAGGTCGTTACCTTGAAAACATACACATTTGACACCAAAATATTGGCTATTCATTCGCCTATATCCCTGCAAGAAACGTGTTGGTAGCGCCAATCCTTTTATTACAAATTGCCGTTCCAAATCTTTCTGCTTCAATACCTGTCAGCTGGCCTCTACGGTCTGCTGATCACGACTGGGTGCAACCTTGTGTATGAGCTGACCGGCCTGGACTGGTAGGCAGTGAAACCAGGCTACGAGTTATATCACATGGGCTCAAAAAGGTGGAAGGAAACCGGGAATTACTGTTATGGAGGCCAATATCGTCTCGCAAGGCTTTACCGAAGCAAAACCCGGTGACCTGAACAACAGGTTTTTAAACTCCAGAGTGTGCCAGATAGATAACGGACAGCATGCTCCAGGCTGGATGAAGCGGCCTGTCGGGGTCTGACATATTGGCGGAGCTCGGAGGGGAGTACCTTTACCGCGTCATGCGGTCGCGGTCATGGTCTAAGTTCTGGAATCGCTGCAGAGTGCAGCAGCTCAGAGTCATTGCGTCAACGTTGATGTTACGTTGTGACCAATGTATGTGGATCTAACTATTTGATGATGGCGACTTCGTAGGCAGATGGCATATTCATTACAATTATATGCCTTAGATGAACTAGGCCCTTGTTTCACTACCGTTTTGTTGTTTGCTGTCGTTGCCACCGGACCATATGACACGTGACTCCTACATGCCATGTAAGCATTTACATCAGATCTTAATTATCCCTGCCACTATCAGCTCAAGCTCGCCTTTTTGAACAGCGGACATACAATTCTTACGGGTTTTGGAATTACCACCTCTCGATTTGTGTGTGTGTGTGTGTGTGTGTGTGCGTGCGTGTGCGTGTGCGTGTGCGTGTGCGTGTGCGTGTGCGTGTGCGTGTGCGTGTGCGTGTGCGTGTGTGTGTGTGTGTGTGTGTGTGTGTGTGTGTGTGTGTGTGTGTGTGTGTGTGTGTGTGTGTGTGTGTGTGTGTGTACGGGGGGGGGGGGGGCAGGGGCTAGCAGTCACCGCCTGTTTTCGTCGAAATGTACGTTTCCTCATGTTGATGCACGAAAACAAAACCCGTTGACCCACATACGCCACAGTTGGCCAGATTATTATCACGACGTCCCGCTGATCCCCCGCGGCTCCGACTGTTGCTTCCACTGGCCAACGGTGGCCTATGCCAACTATTCCGAACGCTGAAATGCATTCACAGCACAGCGACCGTGCGAAGGCCAGTTTGTGTTGACTAGGCTACCAAAATGTCGTTCTGGTCGGTAGAATTTTTTTTAGCGTGCGAGTTGATAAGTAAGGTCAGTTTTCTGGAATCCTTCTGAAAGCTCAGAATTTCAATTCGAAACAGCCCCTCCTGTGGGAAAAAATCTCACTTCATTCCCTATTCACCGCCCTGAAAGTAATACATTTTGTTTGCTATGCTTTTGCGCGCGTTCTGAAATGCGCGTTCTGAAATGTTTGCCACACCCTAATTTGTCAAAATTTTTGCGTAGGAAATGCCTCGTAAACTTGAAACACTGTGTAGACAAAAAAGACAAACGAACATGAATAACATATCCCGCGAATTTAACGAAACTTTGCACTATGGCTTTGATTTTGCCCCCAAGGCATTCACCAAAGTGTGTTTTTTGAGGCGCACTTTGGCTTTGAGAATGGAAGTATCACATGGTCCACAGTGACGCACTGGCTAAAACACTAACCAATGCCTGTATCTGTAACACGCCCTTGCCGCTGTTGGGCCAATCATAAACGTTATTTTATTCGCACCAGTAGAGGTGTCACTGAGGTTGTCATGACGACGATGCTCGCGCTACAAGGAAGAACCATGGTGCTGTTGCAAAACGACGACAGCGTAATTTGGGCTCGAAAATAATGCAGTGACATCCTTATAACGTCTTGACGGTGTTGCTGCGACACTTCCCAATGTTATTATTAGACTGTGTTGTCCTGAGATTTCCCGAGGGTATTTTTTTGGAAACATGGCCCAAAGTTGGGACACTCCCTTTATTGTTATCAGGTGTTCGATGGTCGCCTGGTGACGTCAGGGTCTTAGTCTGGACATGGGCGGATGCCGTATAATTTAATGTTGACATCGCAGTTTCATTTATGCGATTTTAGTTTCGTAGCTCGAAGTTGCAGCCAAATGGTGATCGGTTCCTACGATTTCCATGACCAACAACGCGAATGAAAAATAGCCCCCGCCCTGCCAGGGTTAACTGCGTAGCCCAACATGCATATTGCTCTCCAGCTTTTTTAAGATGCTCCCAAGCCGGTACACATTATCGATGTGCTGTGTTTTTAGTTACTCTTGCATTGCATTTTTGCCGCAGATGTTTTCGTCTGATTTTAATAAAAAAAATAGAAAGCCGGTGTTCAGCCCCTAGTTTCCACAGTCACGGTCCCTTCCCTACCCCATAACAGGACGGGCCATAATCCCCTCCAACACGAAATTCATTTGAACTTTTAAATCGTGCGTACCATGGTTGGCAGCGCGCGTTTGCGCACATTGATAGCTGTGATGATTTTGGACGCTTAGGTCTTTTTCACTGCGAAACAGAACCAGTTATCTAGTTGCCTTTGAGCTGAGATCGGTTTGATACCAATTCTTCCGCGATCTCTCTAAGAAGCTTCCTTGTCTCCTGCATGAGGCTGATATGATTGTGCTGCAGCTGTCACTTTCTCCGCTGGAGGAGACAGCGAATTTCTAACCACAAATAGTGATCCAACCGCGAAGGCCGCCGACTGACTAACTGATCCATATCTAGGCGGACATGAAACTACTTTTACATTGTAAAAGTCGTGCCCATCGTGTTCCCTGCAGTGCCAATCCCCTCCCGAAGTCATACCAATCCGTCCATCGCAATGAAGCAATGCATTGATTCAATACACTTGTGAGGTTCCCACCCACCAGGATTCCTTGGCTGCCCAGCATGTCACTTGCCCGCGAGTTCCGAGCGTCCAGGTCCAGTCGGAACCAGCTGGTATAGCTGACGGCACCGCCTCCTTGTTCCGGCATTACTACGGGTGCGAAATGGACCATCAGACGGACGCCGTCGGTCGGTGGTCGGCTGAGTCTCCCCTGCTGCCGACAGGCACTCTGTCGGTCTGTCCGGTGGCTGACTGCGGCAAGGTGCTCCTCAACCGACACCGGCGCAGCGAGCACCTGTCCTGGCACCGCGGCGAGACCATCTGTGCCGTGTGCGGCGCCCAGCTGTGCTCCAGGTCCTCGCTGCGCGTGCACGTGCGCACCCTGCATCCGCAAATCAGCCCGGCGGCCGACCTGCGGTCGCCCGGCGGCCGGTAGAAACGACTGGCGGATCGGTAGAAGCGGCTGACGGAACTGTAGAAGCGGCTGGTGGAGCGGTATATGTGCCTGGGGATCGGTAGTTGGCTGCCGGGTCTTGCTGGAAGCGGCTCCTGCTCGGTGGATGGTCCCTCGGGGCAGGATGTCAAGATGAGGTCGTTGGACAGCGGTGTGGCGTCCTGCACCATCGTCACGAGGAACTATCCAACTCACGCACGAACTAGCCCCTCGGTACCCTGCCGGCACGCCGATGGGGTATGGCGCGTAACGATATTCCAAAATCCATAGCGCAGAATGGGAAAGCTGGAGAAGAACTTCAACACGCACCGTCGGCAGAAGATGGATGACGTCAGCGTGACGCCTGCTGCATGACGTCGGCCTTAATCCGCCGCTGCTCCACCGCGTTGGCGTGTCTGTGATGCACATACTGTGCGAGGTATGTCTTACGGCCTTGCGGTGGTCGCTGCGCCGTTGCAGAGCTAATGGCCGCTGCACTGTGACAGAGCCAATGGCCGCTACGCTGTGACATAGCCGTTGGTCGCTGTGCTGTGACAGAGCCAATGGTTGCTGCGCTGTGATAGAGCCCGTGGTCGCTGCGCTGTGGCAGAGCCAATGATCGCCGCGCTGCGGCAGAGCTGATGATCACTACGCTGCGGTAGAGCTGATGGTCGCCGCGCTGCGGCAGGGCTGATGATCACTACGCTGCGGCAGAGCTGCTGGTCGCCGCGCTGTGGCAGAGCTGCTGGTCGCCGCGCTGCGGCAGAGCAGATGTAACGAACGTGTTAATACCATCATCCCTGGCTTTTATGAATGCAGTACTTGACTGTCACCTTATGTTTTCTTCCATGTTATCTGGATGGGTGTGGGCTGAAGAAGTCGCTCATCTTTTGTAAAAAAGTACAGATCGAGTCACGGATTTGGAAGCCGGAAACAGGACAAACGCATCCGGGGATTTTGCTGTACTGTCGTGGCAGCACCAACACAGAACACCGGCTGCACCGGATGCTGCGCAACGGATGCCACGTACAGTTCTGCGTGCTTTCCAAAAAAAAGTCGTTTTTCAAAGGTGAAATGAGAAGGGGAAATTTTCACTTAGATAAATAAGTACGACTAAACGTTTTGGACTACCTGCCAGTCATAAACCTGTCATGCAGCTTTAGTAAAATGTAATAGAACTTTATCCGTTTAAAAGAAAAGGTATTGCGGTTGCGGAGCATTGCAACAAAATAGTTCAAAAACTTGTGTGGTTATGACATAACAATGCTATGGGACCATTGGGGGCTACAGATGCAAAATATGCATTCGCAACAAATCAACTTTAATGTGCCGCATCTGAACATGTTGGGATGCCGTTGATGATTCCTGCTCCTCCATGCTGAGCTTCCAATGATGTTCACAAAGTGTGTCGATGCGTCATGTAGCCGTCAAGTTCCGTCTTATTGTGCACCGCCAAACCATTAGAGGGAATCTCACACATTTAGAGATATTGAAACAAGTGTCAGATACGATGCGATAAGCTCACTCATAACTTTTGATGTACGTCCTTGTACCTTGCACAACACTCATTGAGAGACAATTGACGGCCGTTATATCTGGAAATCGTGCTCACGCATGTCAGGTATGAACGACTCTACAATTATATGTTTTTGATCTTGAACGCCTTATGGCCCGTGAGATGTCATGATTTAAATAACGTTATTATGGGGTCATGGATGCGCGGGTAACCTTGAAGTAGTCGGCGCGAAATATTCTGCACATCTTAGTGGGTGTGTAGCTCAGAAACTGGAGGATCTTAGGTCTTAAGGGCAGGGCTGTGAGCTGTACCGAATGATCTTCAAAATGGCTATTCTAGTTCAAAACTCCATACAAATGTGAAACTTCCTTTACAGCAGAAGTGATCCAAGCATGACAATTCCGAGACACGTGCCCAGGATTGATGCATGGTGAGAACATTCCCCAAAGTCACCTGAACCCGTGCCAAATTGTGCGTGCACTGGTCATGCCTTATTTCATCCCGGAACAGATGCTCCTTAGCAAGCTTAGTAAGCCCTTGCAAGCTCCCACTCCTCGGATGCCCTCACAGCATTGGGCTGACAAGCAAAATCATGATATGTTAGAGCGTTGGAACGCTCTCGATCATCCACGACCGACATGCGACCAAAAATGGGTTCAGTTTTGTATACGTTCGGGCGTCCCCTCTCGCATATGTCCACCCCTGGCTTCTTAGACGCATAATGGTGACAGATTTAATATAGTCCTTTGGTTTCCTCTGCTGCAGGTGTTCAAGTGACCGGTGAGGCGAGCTGGCGAACTGTCCCAACTAGAGGGCTTTAGATATGTTTAATATGTTAATGTTATTTTGATTTTGTGCCATCTGGTTCCTTCGGCTGGGTTTCCGCGATTCGCTCCACATCCGTATGACACCAGCTCTAGACGTACCGAGAGCGTCGAAGTGTGGGCGTTTTTCGCCGTTTTCATAAGTGCATTTGTAGGGCACGAATTAGTTTTAACTTAGGCCAAAATCATCGTTGCTTGCAACGCTGCATGAACGCCCTTAACTTGTCTTGTTGGTGTAGCTGGCGTTGGTGTCAATGACAACCCCATCACGGCCTCTGCTGGATCAATTGGTGCTGACGTTGTCGGTCTCATCCATCCCGTCCCAGGCTTCCAAGATGTGAGCCTTGAGTGACCTAGGAACTGGCCTGAGATATCACTTGTACTCTCCTTTGCAAACTGCGTCAGATGGTGGAGTCCTGCCTGCGGCGTTTGGTTTGGAGGACTGGGCATGCTGCATTCTGTTTCGCCAGGAATGTATCCCTCCGAGCTCCACCAGCTTTGGCTGGCGATAGTGACGTGTGCCACAATAGCTAGCCTGTCCGGGCCCGTACAGCTTGCCTGTCCGGGCCTGTAAAGCTCGCCTGTCCGGTCCTGTACAGCTCGCCTCCCTGATACGGCACAGCTCGCCTCTCCGGGCCTGTACAGTTCGCCTGTCCGGGTCTGTACAGCTCGCCAGTCCGGGCCTGTATAGCTCGCCTGTCCGGACTTGTACAGCTCGCCTCTCCGAGTCTGTACGGCTCGCCTGTCCGGACCTGTACAGCTCGCCTGTCCGGGCCTGTATAGCTGGCCTGTCCGGACCTGTACAGCTTGCCTCTCCGAGTCTGTACAGCTCGCCTGTCCGGACCTGTACAGCTCGCCTGTCCGGGCCTGTATAGCTAGCCTGTCCGGACTTGTACAGCTCGCCTCTCCAAGTCTGTACAGCTCGCCTGTCCGGACCTGTGTAACTCGCCTGTCCGGACCCGTACAGCTCGCCTGGCCGAGTCTGTACAGCTCGCCTGTCCGAGCCTGTACAACTCGCCTGTCCGAGTCTGTACAGCTCGCCTGTCCGGGCCTGTACAGCTCGCCTCTCCGAGTCTGTACAGCTCGCCTGTCCGGACCTGTACAGCTCGCCTGTCCGGGCCTATATAGCTAGCCTGTCCGGACTTGTACAACTCGCCTCTCCAAGTCTGTACAGCTCGCCTGTCCGGACCTGTGCAACTCGCCTGTCCGGACCCGTACAGCTCGCCTGTCCGAGCCTGTACAACTCGCCTGTCCGAGTCTGTACAGCTCGCCTGGCCGAGTCTGTACAGCTCGCCTCTCCGAGTCTGTACAGCTCGCCTGTCCGAGCCTGTACAACTCGCCTGTCCGAGTCTGTACAGCCCGCCTGTCCGGGCCCCGTACAGCTCGTCTGTCCGGGCCCGGTACAGCTCGCCTGTCCGGGCCCCATACAGCTCGCCTGTCCGGGCCTGTACAGCTCGCCTCCCTGAGCCGGTACAACTCGCCTCTCCGGGACGGCACAGCTTGCCTGTCTGGACCTGTACAGCTCGCCTGCTCGGACCTGTACAGCTTGCCTGTCTGGGTTTGTGCAGGTTACCTGTCCTGGCCTGTGCAGCTTTCCTGTCTGGACCTGTACAGCTCGCCTGTCCAGACGTGTACAGCTCGCCTGTTCGGACGTGTACAGCTAGCCTGTCTGGGTCCGTGCGGGTTACCTGTCCTGGCCTGTACAGCTTTCCTGTCGAGACCTGTACAGCTCGCCTGTCCGGACCTGTACAGCTCGCCATACTGCGACTGCCCATCCCTGGCTGGCCCGCTGACCACCGGGCCGCCGTGTTTTGCAGGCCTGCCCTGCCCGGCCCCCGGCTGCGGCAAGGCGCTGCGCAACTCACAGCGGCTGAGCGACCACCTGGCCTGGCACCGTGGCGAGACAGTCTGCCCGCTATGCGGCCAGCGTCTCTCCTCGCGCACCAAGCTGCGCGCCCACGTGCAGCACCTTCACCCGTCGGCTGGCGGCTGGCCGGCGGGGTTCCGCTAACCACGCACCGGTGAGCAGCGCCAGAAGCAGCACGTCAACCAGCCGGCGCAGAGGCGGTTGATGGTCGGTGGGCGGTCCTTGAGCTCCTGTACACAGACCCCAGCGGGTGTTTGCCGGTGTCGAGCTCTGGTACGTCGGCATTCAGTGATTGATTGTTGCCTTCAAGTCAGCGGATAAAGAAGTAGTCTGTTTCCAATGAACGTAGACTGGTGATCACTGGCCGTCGGCACCCTGTTTCGTCTTACACCGCTGTTTCGGTTCGAGTAGGCGGGCTGGTAAGCCACACCCGGCAGGACGGAATTCAGAAGCGGGTGAGGTAGGCACTGATTTGTTTCCAATTTGACCTCGCTGATGATTAAGCCGTTGGGACATCACATGTCCCTCTTGCTCCAGGATACGGCACTCCGTTGGCCATCGGACCAGGGCCGACAGTCGGGTTTGGCGGCGTCTGAGTGATGTCTGAGGCAGCTGCTACGCCCGCCAGCCGGTGGAGGTCTGCCATTTACCTGCTGTTTATTTGGAGTGTGGTTGGACCCGATCGGCGTGTCAATGAACAAGGAATGCTGTCCCGGCAGTACATGCTGTTTATTTGGAGTGTGGTTGGACCCGATCGGCGTGTCAATGAACAAGGAATGCTGTCCCGGCAGTACATGCTGTTTATTTGGAGTGTGGTTGGACCCGATCGGCGTGTCAATGAACAAGGAATGCTGTCCCGGCAGTACATGCTGTTTATTTGGAGTGTGGTTGGACCCGATCGGCGTGTCAATGAACAAGGAATGCTGTCCCGGCAGTACATGCTGTTTATTTGGAGTGTGGTTGGACCCGATCGGCGTGTCAATGAACAAGGAATGCTGTCCCGGCAGTACATGCTGTTTATTTGGAGTGTGGTTGGACCCGATCGGCGTGTCAATGAACAAGGAATGCTGTCCCGGCAGTACATGCTGTTTATTTGGAGTGGGTTGGACCGATCGGCGTGTCAATGAACAAGGAATGCTGTCCCGGCAGTACATGCTGTTTATTTGGAGTGGGGTTGGACGCGATCGGCGTGTCAATGAACAAGGAATGCTGTCCCGGCAGTACATGCTGTTTATTTGGAGTGTGGTTGGACCCGATCGGCGTGTCAATGAACAAGGAATGCTGTCCCGGCAGTACATGCTGTTTATTTGGAGTGGGGTTGGACGCGATCGGCGTGGAGTGTGGTTGGACCCGATCGGCGTGTCAATGAACAAGGAATGCTGTCCCGGCAGTACATGCTGTTTATTTGGAGTGGGGTTGGACGCGATCGGCGTGTCAATGAACAAGGAATGCTGTCCCGGCAGTACATGCTGTTTATTTGGAGTGGGGTTGGACGCGATCGGCGTGTCAATGAACAATGAATGCTGTCCCGGCAGTCGCGAACTGATGATGGCACAAGTTGAGTTATAGCTTCCAATGCAGGCTAGACAGTTGTGACTCCCTAACGGTCCTAAGTCGTGAGCAGCGCCTTGATCTATAAGGCTGTTCGGGAAGATCTATAGGCGGACAAAATACATAGGGCTGCCCTGGCTGTTTGGCACAAGTCTCCATTCAACACTAAGTAAGCATGTTTTCGGTTGACGGGGTACTATCTTGACGCAATGTTTTCTGAACGATTTGCGAACGACCAATGCACAAAGATAGCAGCAGTGCAACACAGATGTTCCCCGGCACTTCTTTTGTTGTCTGTTTGCATGACGACAGTACGTCTGTTCACGTATGGTTTTGGGCAGCAGTTCCAGTCAGGTGGTTATGACGTGTATACAGACCGCTCCCTCTAGTTGTTCGCCTGTCGCTGAAGCTCTCGAGGGGCATGACGGAGGTGCTGTTGCCTGTAGTTATCCCCTGAGCGGGTACCGATACCCGGAGGGGTTCCGGGAGGGGTGCCGCTGCCCGGAGTGGTCCCGGGAGCGGGTGCCGCTGCCCGGAGTACCCGCAGGGATACCGGCTTCAGCCGGCGTAGGGGACTAGCGCCCCCTGGGGTCGCAGCTCCGGTAACAGGTGGACAGCGCAGGCTGTTCCTCTCAGGGCGTGGCGACCCTGCCGGAACGTGAGCTCCCGCTCCTTGTCCCGTCCGCTCCCCTCCCATTACCCGCTTTCCCGCACCCGGCCCCTCGTCAATCCTAATCCTTGTTTTATCGCGGTCACAGTGCCCCCTCGCCCGCGTCCCCGGGTTGATCGGATGCTGGTGACTGAGTTGCGCGTCGTGCGGGTTAGTCACGGCGCGTCCCAACACTCCACTTTGGCCGGGATATCCGGGGGCGCGGGGGCCGTGGGGTCCCACACGGGTCTAGCGGCCTGTCGCTTGCGCTGCGGTTGGGTGCTCCTTGCGGGTTTCCGCTTGAGGTGCCTAGCCGCGCGTAGCGGCTTAAGGGGTCAAAAGGCGGCGGCTCTGAACCACGGTTAGGACGGGGAGGGGTCTCCCCGGTTACACCTGGCCGTGTGAGAGGCGTCGTTCGCCCCGTATAGCACCGGGGTAGCCCTGGCGGTGACCACCTCCCGAAGGAGTGTTGGGCCGTCCCCCAGTTGGGCTCCATGGTGGGTGGGGAGCCCCGGTGCCGAAACCTCACTGAAACTTGCATGGCATCATATAATCAAAAAACCACCCGTCCCCCGAAAGGGGGAAGGACCGCGTCCAGAACGGAAAGCAGCGGGGAATCTCCGCCATCTCCCCGATTTTAGGTATTCCAAAGTGATAAGACGAGGCTCTCGTCTCTCTCGCCGTTTCACCGGAAGAACGGGTGTGATCGATTTGGAACTGTGGTTCGGTGTGACATATTGCGTGATGGTGGGCTAGAGGTAGAGTTTGTTAACGGAGCAGAGGCTGATCGTACGATGGCTGCAGCCGAATTCCCGTACTGCGTTCGGGACAAGGATGGCAAACGAGACGTTTCAGTACCTATCCGAGTGACACCACACCTGACAAAAAATGCATCCAGGGGAATAATTAACTGCTTTGACTTGCGTGACGTTAGTGAAGAGAAAAGATCGCTGACGAGTTGTCTGTATTCGGTGTCATTGCTCCACGTAGGATCTCCACTAGAAAAGGAAGTGAACAGCTGCCGACAAATAACATCATCTTGACTTTCAATCGCCCAGATCTGCCTTCCGAAACACGCGTTGGATACGCACGTGTCAAGGTGCGCCTCTTCATCCCGAACCCCATGCGATGCTTCAACTGCCAGCGATTTGGTCATACCAAACAGTACTGCCGCAACAAGCCTGTCTGTGGGAAATGCGCTTCCTCCGAGCACACAATGGAATTTTGCGATTCAGAGAGAGAGTGTATTGTGTGAATTGTGACCAGGACCAGGCTGCGCACTCGGCTTACGACCGCATGTGCCCAGCGTACGTGAAGAAAAACGAAATTACATCCATTAAGACCACTCGCAACATCTCCTTTCACGATGCCGGAACGTTGTATGAGGAGAGCCACCCACGAACATCATACGCCGAAAAAGCTAAGATCTCCACCACACGTCCGACCTCCACTGATCAGATGACCGCCGCTCAGCTTGTAGCGCTCTTGAAGTCGTTCGGTCTCTCGGTTGTACCGACAAACCAGGCGCTGGACTCCAATCTGGCAGCCCTGGCTCCCCCTCCCTCGCTGGAGCGGTCGAAGGAGACCATGCTGCCAGCCTCCTCGCCCCCTGGCCGGTCGGCACCCTCCGTGTTGCCGACTCCCACGGCACCGCCGTCTCCTGCCGGAGAGGAGGCGTGGACGGTGGTCCGGCCCCGCAGGGGCACCGGCTTCGGTCGGTGTAGGGGACTAGCGCCCCCTCGGGTCCCAGCTCCGGTAACGGGTGGACAGCGCAAGCTGGTCCTCTCAGGGCGTAGCGACCCTGCCGGTGCGTGAGCTCCTGCTCCTTATCCCACCCGCTCCTTCCACTTCACCCGCACTCCCGCATCCGGCCCTATCACCATTCCTCATCCTCGTTTTATCGGGGTCGCCGTGCCCCCTCGCCCACGTCCCCGGGTTGATGGGATCCTGGTGGCCGAGGGGCGCGTCGTGCGGGTCAGTCACGGCACGTCCCAACACTCCACTTTGGCCAGAATATCCGGGGGCGTGGGGGGTCCGTGGGGCCCCACACGGGTCTAGCGGCTTGTCGCTCGCGTTGCGATTGGGTGCTCTTTGCGGGTCTCCGCTTGGGGCACGTGACCGCGCGCAGCGGCTTAAGGGGTCAAAGGGTGGCGGCGCTGAACCACGGTCAGGACGGGGAGGGGTCTCCCCGGTTACACCTGGCCGTGCGGGAGGCGTCGTTCGCCCCGTATAGCACCGGGGTAGCCCTGGCGGTACCACCACCCCCTGGGTGAGTGGGCCGTCCCCCAGTTGGGCTCCGAGGTGGGTGGGGAGCCTCGGTGCCGAATACTTAAACCGTACACCTATGGCAACTTCAAATAAAAAAAACACCCGCACCCCGAAAGGGGGGCGGACAGAGAGTACAGGAGGTAGCGCGTCAGCGCCTACCCCTCGAATCTTGATTTTTCGAAGCGCCGAGAAGGCGCTGTCTTCCCTTTCGCCCTTTCAAAGGCGAAATGGGTGTGATCGTTTTGGAACGGTGCTCCGATGTGATAAGCTGAAGGACGGTGGGATCGAGGTCGAGTTTCAGAATGGAGAGGACGCGAAACGGGCAATGACTTCGGATAGGTTTGCGTACTGCGTGCGCGATGCGGAAGGGAAAAAGGACGTGTCAGTGGCGATGACCGTTGAGGTTCACAGGACAAAGAACTCTTCAAAGGGTATCATCAACTGCTTTGACTTGAAAGATGTCAGCGAGGAGGAGATAGTCGACGGCCTTACCGAGTTCGGAGTGACAGATGCTCGCCGCATCAAGGTGCGCAGGGGTGCGGAGTTGGTCCCCACCAACAATATCGTACTGACTTTTAATCGTCCTGACATACCATCTGAAGTAAGGGTAGGCTATGTGAAGGTGAAGGTGCGCCTTTTTATTCCGAACCCCATGAGATCTTTTAAGTGCCAGATGTTTGGACATACGAGGGATTTCTGCCGTAACCAGCCAGCATGTGGCAAGTGTGCTTCTCCGGAGCACCCGAGCGATCAGTGCACTGCAGCGAACCCGTGGTGTGTGAACTGTGGGAAAAACCAGAAACCTCACTCCACTTTTGATCGCGCATGCCCGGCGTACGCCAGAGAGAAGGAGATCATCGCACTAAAAACCACGAAGACCATCTCATTTCGGGAAGCAAGGGACTTATATGAACTGAGCCACCCTAAGACATCATATGCCACGGCGGCCAAGGCCCATGTCCCACCTGAGGTCTCCGTAGACCAGATGACTGGAACGCAGTTCATTAAACTGCTTACATCTCTCGGGCTGTCGGTTGTACCGGCATCTCAGGTGCACGCCACAGCATCGGCAACACTGTCGTCCCCCGTCTCGTTGGCACCTTGTGCCCCCTCTGAGGCACAGGCCAGCGCGCCAGTTGTTACCTCGCCGCCCCACCCCACACCAGCCGAAAGCAATGAGTGGACCGTGGCCCGCCGGGGTCGAACCTCTCGGTCTTCGCCAGTAAGCGCGCGATCACCGGTTTCACAGCCGTCCTCCCCAGCAGCATCACGTCCTACAACCCTGAGTGAGACGATGGGACGGAAACTGGACAACCTTGAGCGCCAAGAGGCGGAGAGACGGGCGCGCGAGGCAAAGCGTGCACGCCTTCAGGAGCAGGAGAGGGCAAAGGCAGCCAGTCGGCTGTCGGGTGCGGGCCCCGGGCCTGCTCCCACGGGGGAGGTAGTCCCACCTCCCCGAAAGCGTGTGGAAGCTCCCTCAGGCCCCTCCGACTCGCGGAGAGACCTGTCTATGGGTGCTCCACCACCACCGCCGCCTAGGACCACGGCGTCGCCGGCGCCGGCTCAGTTTAGGACGGGGCGTCCGGAAAAGCGTGGACCGCCGGGGCCGATTTCGCCAACAGATGGCGGTAGTCCCCGGATCCGACCCAGGATCCGCCCGATCTCTTCGGGTTCTGACGACAAAACCAACAACCATGGGCCAGGCTCTAGCGCTGCTGAGTTCTTTTAAAACCATGCGGTGCTTTTAAAGCCTCTTCATTCAGTCAGTTTTACAGTGGAACTAGAGGTGTAAGGTCAAGCACCCAGGACTTGCAGACAGTTTTAAGCGCGCACTGCCCGGTAGCCGTGTGTCTCCAGGAGACCAAGTTGGCGTCTGATGCGGCCTTCAGCCTGAAAGGATACACTACCTTCCGCACTGACATGCCAACAGATACCGTTGCTTACGGTGGCGTCCTTTTGGCTGTACACCAAAGCGTACCTACGCGGCGTCTGGTGTTGAGAACAGACTTGCAGGCTGTCGCAGCAACGGTGAATTTCAACCGCCGCACCATAACTGTCTGCTCTCTCTACTTGCCACCTGGGGTTTCATTTCCATCTGGAGGACTACGAGAGTTAGTCTCTCAACTTCCTCCCCCTCTACTCGTTTTAGGCGATTTTAATGCACATCACACTGTGTGGGGGTGTGCTTGCACGAACACTCGCGGGAGGCTATGTGAGGCTCTCGTGCGTGACGAAGGTCTGTGCGTTTTAAATACAGGATCAATAACGCATTTTACATTGCCATCCGGACAATCGTCGGTGCTAGACCTGAGCATTTGTAGTCCGCAGTTGGTACCACACTTCACCTGGGATGCTTCAGAGGACCCCCTTGGAAGTGACCATTTTCCTGTCTGGGTTCAGTACCGTGGTGGTACTGTTCTTGGTACTCGACCTCAGCGTTGGAATTTCAAGATGGCGGACTGGAGTGGATTTGAGACTCGCCTGGACGAAACGTTTTCCAACGATTTCGACTCTGCAACTCCGACTACGGAGGAAGTTTCGTCTCTCGTGTTGGATGCGGCGAAAGGATGCATTCCGCGCACCTCCGGATACCCTCGTCGTACCCCTGTACCTTGGTGGAGCGACGAGTGTCGCGACGCTATTCGTGCGCGTCGGAGAGCTTTTAGGGCTTTTAACCGGCACAGCAGCACATTAAACCTCTTGGCTTTCAGGCAAGCACGCGCGGCCGCACGCCACACTATACGAGAGGCGAAACGTGCATCATGGCGCAGCTACGTCAATTCACTAAATCGCCACACGCCGACGTCACATGTATGGGGCCGCATTAAACGAATCGCTGGACTGCATCCAGCAGTTTCCCTTCCCGTACTGCGAGTGGGAAGTCAAGACATCACTCACCCAAGTGATGTGGCAAAAGCCATTGGGGAAGCCCTGTCAGACGGTTGCCGAAATGGCACCTGCGATCCACGGTTTTTGCGGCACAGGGCACGATGTGAAACTTCGCAGGTTAATTTTTGTACACATGACGTCCTGACTTACAACAAACATTTTACTATGATGGAGCTTCAAGCGGCCATTCGCTCGCTGCGTAGTGTAGCGGAGGGGCCCGACCTCATCCACAATGATATGATACGGCATTTTCCTCCCCGTGTACTACGAGCGTTGCTGGCAGTTTTCAACTACATATGGGTGTCAGGTAACTTCCCGCCAATCTGGCGAGAGGCAATAGTAGTGCCTATTTTAAAGCCCGGAAAAAGTGGGACGAACGCTCTTGACTACCGCCCGATCGCCCTCACATCTTCGCTTTGTAAGCTCATGGAAAGAATGGCGAATGCGCGGCTCTCGTGGACTTTGGAACGCCAGAACTTTTTCACGAACGCTCAGTGCGGATTCCGTAAGAGCAGTAGCACGATTGACCATATCTTAACTCTTGATACCGCAGTGCGAGCCGGATTTAGTAGCAAGCGTCCTACCGGCGCCATCTTCTTGGGCATAGAAAAAGCTTATGACACCACATGGAGACATGGAATTAAGATGAAGTTACTCGATTGTGGCATCCGTGGTCACATGGGAAAGTTTTTACAAAACTTTCTGACCGACAGATTCTTTCGGGTGCGTGTTGGTTCTTATCAATCCGACAGGTATCCACAGGACAATGGTGTGCCTCAGGGCAGGGTATTAAGTGTCATTCTTTTCGCAGTGATGATAAACGACATAGGGGACACGCTTCCACATGGGATCAGCCGTTCTCTGTTTGTAGACGACTTCGCTATTTGGTGTAGCTCATCGACCACCCGCACGATGGAACGACAGCTGCAGCTGGCTGTCACACGTCTGGAGAACTGGAGTGTGCTCAACGGTTTCCGGTTTTCTACATCGAAGATAACTGCAGTTCATTTCTGTCGTCGCCGTCACTGTCCTGATATGGAAATCAGGCTGTATGGGCAACGCGTCGCCAGTGAGAATACCGCGAAATTTCTCGGTATACGCTTTGACCGACGCGTAACATACCGTGAGCACATCAGAAATCTCCGCGACAAAGGTTTAAAATCTCTTAACATCCTAAGGTGCGTGGGACGTACGTCATACGGTGCTGATAGGATGACACTCTTACTCCTATACCGCTCCCTGATTCGTTCAAAACTTCACTACGGCTGTTTTATCTACGACAGCTCATCAGACCTGATCAAACGTACTCTGAACACGGTGCATCACGCCGCACTCCGTATCGCCACAGGGGCTTTTCGGACATCGCCCATAGACAGTCTTCTGGTGGAGGCTCACGAGCCCCCACTAGCATTGCGAAGGCAGGTGCTGGGACTGCGCTACACGTGCAAGCTGGCGCAGTTCCCAGATCATCCCACCTACAAAGCAGTGTTTTCGCGTAGCTTACGAAAGCTTTTCCTACGTCAACGGTCACCAAAAACTTCTCCCTTCTGTGTACGAATGAGAGAGCTTTTAGATGCGAGCGGCCTGAACCTACGGCGTGTCATCAGACCTGAACCCATGGAGACTGCTCCTTGCTCCACCGCCAAGAGTGGATGTCTCTCTATCAAATATGCAAAAGCAACGTGTCCTCATGACGGAACTCAAAGGCGCAGCCTTTGAGCACATGGCCACCTTTGACGGGTACAAGATGACTTATACAGATGGTTCGAAGACGGATGCAGGTGTAGGGTGCGCTTTTGTGTGCGGATCCACCACACGGTCATTCACACTGCCTTCACACGCGTCGGTCTACACTTCCGAGCCTATAGCCATTAGCAAAGCTCTCTGTTTTATTGAAGTGGGCGATAGCAATCTGCATTTAATTCTTTCCGACTCCTTGAGCAGCCTGCTGGCTGTTAGCGGCTTCTCCCCGTCGAATCCACTGGTTCAGGACATTCAATCTCGTCTTAGCTCACTGGATCGAGCAGGAAAAACGGTCGTTCTATGCTGGATCCCAAGTCACGTGGGATATGCGGAAATGATCTTGCTGACGCGGCAGCAAAGCGCGCTACGACAGGGACTAGAATTCCTATAACACCACCACCTGCTGAAGACATGTACCCCGCAGTGTCGCTGTTTATGCAGAAGCGATGGCAGTTGTACTGGATCTCGCTGAGCGCCAACAAACTGCAGTCGGTGAAACCCCACATTGGATTATGGCAGTCGTGCTTGCGGGACAATAGGGTGGAAGAATTTGCCCTTTGCCGGTTACGCATAGGTCACACATATGCTACGCACCGTCACCTGCTATTGGCTGGCGACAGACCATGCTGCGGTCGATGCTCTGATCCACTGACCGTGCATCACGCACTGGTCGCTTGCCGGCACCTTACTGCAACGAGAGCGCAGTTTTTCGGACGCCACGTCCAGAGTCGCACGCTATGCGACTTTTTAGGGGATTCTTTGAACATCGTCGGGTTTGGTAAAGTGCTCCAGTTCCTTCGCGCTATAGATTTTCCTGTAATCTTCTCATCATGAAGCTAGGGCCGATCATCATGGCTCTATAGGGTGACCTGATTGATGCACTTCTCTGATTGACGTCTCTGCA